CTAGTGGGATGAGGCTTAAGAGAGTGTAGGGGTTCAGTACTGTGGGGTGAATGGTCTTGACTCTGGAGTTTACCTCTCTCAAATCTTGTGCTGGCTAGTAGTCCTGTGTTCCTGGCTTTTGCACAGGAGGGAGAGAGGTGTTCCAGGCTGACTGGCAAGAGACCAGGATTCCTGCTTCTTGAAGTCTTTTTATGTGCTTTGCTATTCCTTTTCAGGCTTCTGGTTTGATGGGGTACTGCCTCACGCATACTGGCAGGGCACTTGCTTTTAATTGTACTACTATAAGAGAGTGATGTGCTGCCAGCCCTGGAGGGTTGGTTTCAGCCCAAACTCGGGGAATTGCTCCTGGAGGGCTTGTAGGTCCTCTGGGAAGTCTGCTTCCTTTGAGTCCTTTGGGTCCTCTGGGCTGGGGGGCAGAAGTAAGTATTCTTCTGACAGGGGGCACGTTATTAGGATGTGTTTTTGCTCTGGGGCCAGGGTGAGATCACCTGAAGTTTGTCGGAACAAGACGGTTGCCCCTTGCCTCCTCAGGAGGTCTCATCCCAAGAAGGGTAGGGATAGTCAGGGATTACAAAAATAGAATGTGTCACTGTTCCAGTCCCTAGGTCTAGAGTTCAAGTTGTAGTCTATTGGTAGGTGGCAGTGGTGCCAGTGACTCTTTGCACCTGGGTGGTGTTCTTGGATAAAAGGCCCAGGGGTTGAGTTAGAACTGAGTGTGCTACACCAGTGTCAACTAGAAACTTGACAGGGGTGTCCCCCACCTTGAGGGTTATCAGGGGCTCATGGGAACTGAGCGGCAATGAGCCTTGACCCAGTCAGTCTTCTTCACTGACTGCCAGGAGAGGCTTTGGTTGCTTCTGCCTCCCTCTGCAGGGGCACTCGTTCTTCCAGTGTCCTAACTCCCTGTAGTATGCATACTGATTTTTACCCAGGGAAGGTCTGCAGTTTGCAATGGCTTGAGGTGTCTCAGGGCCCCTCTGGGATGGAGCAGGGAGAGCTTCAGCCTGGAGGGCTGCTATTGGAGAGCTGTTATTGGAGGGCTGCTTTGTCACCTGGGTAACTTTCTTTACCAGTTTTTCCTCCTGCAGCTCTCTGCTATTATAAACCCTTTGAGCTATACTGACTAGTTCTTCCCTAGTCTTCCCATCGAATCCCTCAATTTTTTGGATTTTTTGCTTAACTTCTGGGACCAACTGCATTACAAAGGCCAGGTTTACAGCCTTGCAGTTTTCCGGGGTTTCTGGGTCTATGGGAGTATAAATCCAGTAAGCCTCCAGCAGGTGCTCTAGGAAAGCTGCAGGAGACTCGGTGGACCCTTGCTGGATTTTGCTTACCTTAAACAGGTTGGTAGGTTTCCTTGTGGCATGTCTTAAGCTGGTTAAGAGACACTGGTGGTCAGTGTCTATGGCCTCCCTACCTTCCACAGCATTGGGATTCTACTCAGGGCATTGGGAGTGGAGGACTATATTCAGGCGGACTTTTTATGCCACAGGGTTGCCTCCCTGGGGGCCTTCTGGGCTTCTGACAAAATCTGGTCCCTCTCCTCTGAAGTGAAAAGGGCATGAAGGAGCTGCTGACAATCATTCCACGTGGGCTAGTGGGTGAAGAAGACAGACTCCAAGAGTGAAATTAGGGCCTGTAGCTTTTCAGAGAAGGGGGGATTCTGATGTCTCCAGTTATATAAATCACTAGAGGAAAAGGGGACATAAATCCTTTCCCCTCCATAAATCTCCCGCAGGGGGAGTACCACATCTGGAGAAGAGAAGGACGGTGGTGGCCAGTAAGAAATTCCTGTAAGGCAGACCTGTGCGAGTATGAGGGGGAGAGCAGAATTCAGAGGAAGTGGGATATAGGGGTGGAGGGATCAGGCACTGAGTCTGCGATAGGAGGTCTCCGGGATGCGGCAGTGGAAGGGTGAGGGGAAGTAGGCGGGGAACAGGGAAGAGGGGAGGTGACCTTCTGGGGGGGCTTAAGGGTGGGATGGAGCCAGTTGAGGGTATGGGGGTGGAAGAGCAGGTTCTGCAGCCTCTGGAGCTAAAGCTGAGGGACAGGAAGGGGGCAGTTGTGGGTATAGGGGTGGAGGAACAAACTCTGGAGTTAGGTCCGCAGGATTGTCAGGTTGAGAGAGAACAGGGGGAGAATATATGTTAGAAGGTTTTTTTCTTGGCAGGCAGTTTTGGACAGTGGTTACTGAGATCCTACTTCCAGTTTTTAGGGAACACCCTCGGAGCCACTCTGGAGGCAACTTGCAAAGTTCTGTCCATACCTCGATGTAGGGAAACTGATCAGGGTAGCTTGGTTTTCCCCTTACGACCCTCCAAACTGCATGGCAGAGGGCGAGGTCAAAAGACCCCTCAGGCAGCCAGCCTACCCCAAATGTGGGCCACTCCAACTTGCAAAGAGTCTGGAGATGGACCCTAGAAAACTTGACTCCTAGTTCTCCTCTTTCAGGGAAAAAGGCTTGTTTAAAGTGAATTTAAAAACAGTCAATGGGGGGTTTGGGCACCAGACTGCGCAATTCCCGTGACTTCCCTTTCTCCACAGATCAGGAAGGTCTGGACCTCGTCCACTAGGGGTTGCAGGAGGGCTATGATCACCAAATCCTGCAGAGTTTCTACTTCCGGGCCCAAACTCCAAAATCGAGTCCTGGGGAGTCCCAACAGCTCTGGGGGATACCTCTGGTCCACGAGCTTCAGCTGCAGCCGCCAATGGCTGAGCTGCAATTGAAGGAGGAGTGGCACAGGGACTCCCCACTCAGGACTCAAATGAGGGGCTCCATAATGCACCTGAAGAAGGGCAAAAATTCCTAAGTACAGGGACAGCCTGCCCCTTAGGAACAGATTCCAGTAGGGTGTGGGAGGAATGGGGTGACAAAACAGGTGAACCAAAAAGTCAGCAGGGTGGGAGTTCTGGACCCACCAGGGGAGGAGAGTAACTGAGCAGTTTGCCCAGGAATTCCACTGAAGTTGGTGGCACCCAGTTGTTCAACAGCCAGGCAATACCACAGATATTCACCTCTGTCTGTAGCACACTGTTATCCCAAATCCCTTTGCTGACAAAATCAACACCTTACTGTCTCTTGGCAATAGAGGCAAGTGGTGGGGGCAACCAATCTAGATAAAAGGGTCTAAAACACCCACTATGGGGGTTAACAAGGGGAGCCCTGCTGGGGGAAGGGATATAGATTAGAGAAGGGTAAGTGAATACCTATGAGGTCACTGAAGAGTTGTTGGAAAAAGAGAGCACTTTCGCTGATGAGAACAGAAGAATGAGCAAGGCTACAATGAAAAAATATACAGGTCAGAGCTATACACTTTTTGAGGGTCCAGCCCAGAGGGGCTGCGCTTCCCAATCCAATGCCACCAAGGAAGATGAAAAGCCTGACGACCATCAGGTCAAAGGCACACCAGGCAGTGAGTGAGATTGGACACATGAAGGGAGTAGATAAATGAACAGGGTGACAATGATAAAATAAAGGCAAGTTAGGGCCACGCGCTTGCGGAGGTTCCAGTCAGGAGAGACCGAGCAGGCTAGTCCAATACCACCAAAAAGAATAAAAAAGCCTACGGCTGTTAGAGTGAAGGCGCACCAGGCAGTAAGTGATAGTGGACACATAAAGGGGACTAAGGGATCTGGTAATGTTGGATTGTAAATAATTAGTTTACCAGGAAAAGGAGGAGGAAAGAGTACACAGATACCTCATCTGGGTTGAAATCAGAGAGTTCCTTGTAAGAACTGATCAGTAACCCACTCCAGCAGGTGTCTGAGATCAGTGGACTGAGGTCTTGTGCAGTCTACAAGCAGATTATTGACAAAACATTGAAAGCAGCAGGACAAACATAACTTTGACAGACAACTCATGCACAGGAGTGTGGGCATGGAACACACCCAGCACTTTAGCAAATGTCAAACTTCACAGACCAGAGACTCACCCCCTGTGAGTCCAGACAGACCAGAGACTCACCCCCTGTGAGCCCAAAGACAGACCAGAGACCCACCTTCTGTGAGTCCAAAGACAGACCAGAGACCTACCCTCTGTGAGTCCAAAGACAGACCAGAGACAACCAGGGATAGATCAGAGACCAGAGACAGACCAGCGACCTGCAACAGCATCCTGTGCAGGTCCAGGAGGGGAAGTTAGTGTCACGTCTGACCTTCCCTCATCCTGTAGGCACCCAACAGCTCAGCCACCAGACAGAAAATAAAAAGCCAGCATTGTCTTACCTCCGGAGGTGTGGAAGGACTTTAGTATCTGCCAATGGTTGTCCAGTGCTTCCCAGGGATTGCTCAGGATCTGGGGGCCCTGGAACGTCTTCAGGGGGCTCCTCCCCTCAGAATCCTGAGGGCCTCCTGGGGGAAGGCCTGAGGACTCCCAGGTATGTGAGTGCTCTGTGACTCTATCTCGCTGGGGCCTCCAATGTTGGACATAAAATCTTTGAGCCACGGAGGAAAGGAGCACTTCAGATGAGATTTAAAAGATAATACAGTCTTTTATTAGATAGATTGATTGGCTGCCCTGAGCCTCTATGGAGAACAGCCCCAGGTTAAGTGGTGTGTGGGGGTATTTAAGGGATATAGGCGCAGAGGGGGGCTTGAGCCCATGGCATCTGGATGCCTCAGGTGTTAACTGAGTGAAGCAAGCTGGTTTACAGAAGTGAAGATGAGCGGTTTTTGCAAACAAGGTATTTCATAGAAATGGAGCATGGCAGTTCCTGTGGTTGAGTTCACCAGGTGGCTTCAGGTGCTCAGTGGAAGTTTCCACTGGGGGCCTAACTTGGTGGTGGGAGAAAAGAGAGGGGATCATAAGATGGAGGCACCATTGTCCTGACTTTCAGCACCTTTTAGCCTAACAATATTAAAGCTAAAGCTATTTGAAACTGTATTGGACAGAATAAAAATATCAAACAATATGAAGATAATATCGATCCAAATTATATACAGTACATAGATCAAATAGTGACTTCTTTTGCTACTATTTGACTCTCCTTTCCTACTTTCAGTTGTCAAAAGCCTATGGCCCTGTGTTCACTGTGTATTTGGGCATGGAGCGTGCTGTGGTGTTGCATGGATATGAAGCAGTGAAGGAAGCCCTGATTGATCATGGAGAGGAGTTTTCTGGAAGAGGCAGTTTCCCAGTGTTTGAAAGAGTTACTAGAGGACATGGTAGGTGTACATGTGGCTGAGTCAGCAGTGGTAAACTGGGATGGTGGGGTGGTGGTGGGGGTGGTGGGGTGGTAGGGGGGAGGATGGAGCCAGAGTCCCAAAGAGCTCTTGGGGCAGAGCTTGGCTCACCATGTGGTTGCACAGTGTCAGCTCCTCCTCCTTGGCTGGGATTTATCTCCTACTTTCTGTTTCCTATCCTGATAGGTATCATTTTCAGCAATGGAAATAGGTGGAAGGAGATACGGCGCTTCTCCCTTATGACCCTGCGGAATTTTGGGATGGGGAAGAGGAGCATTGAGGAATGTGTCCAAGAGGAGGCCCGCTGCCTTGTGGAGGAGTTGAGAAAAACCAAAGGTGGGTAACTCTTTTTATTTTTTGCCTAAAAAATTTTATAAAAGGTATTTTAACTTTTTTATTGATACATGACACTTGTATCTATTTATGGGACCATGTGATTTTTTTTTAAATATGCAGAGACTGTTTAATGATCTAGTCAGGGTATTTAGGGTATCCATCATCTTGACCATTTATCATTTCTATGTACTGGGAACATTTCAAGACCTTTCTTCTAGTTATTAATACTTAATCAATATTAATATCAATTAATTATAAGTTAAATATCAATTTGGTGTAACTTGGTATTTGTGTAATTATGTTTGAGCATATATTTTCTTAAAATATATAAAACAATATAGTAAATAGGAACATTAAATAATACCAGCTGTTAATTTTCAAATAATTATTTAATGGGTAAATTACAAATGATGAGGGCTGCACTGAAGATACCTGCACACTTAAAACCAAAGATATGCATCATAACTGGTGGTAATTGTAGGTACAGGCCTTGGAAGAAGGCCTCAGACATGTTAGTGAGGCTGGCCAGGCAAATACAGACTAATAAAGAGCAAGCACATTGTCAATTGTTTCAGGCTCAATAAGGGTGTAAGGAGGGGTCATTCCCACCATGTCCACATGAGAAGAATTCTGTGAAAAGTTCTAAAATAGGTGGCCCACAATGATGCTATAAGAAAAACATTGCTCTTTAAAATTTTTAAAAAATAAGACTCAAATCATCTACCTTCATGATGTAATGATTTGAAAACAAACAAGGTCTTGCTCTGTCACCCATGCTGCATTGGTGGCATGATAATAGCTCACTGAAGCCTCACACTCCTGGGCTTAAGCAGAGACTGGGTCTAACTATGTTGCCCAGGCTGATCTTGAACTGGTTTGAAGCAATCTTCCTGCCTTAGCCTCCTAAAGTGATAGAATTAAAGGCGTGTGTTACTGTGACTGTCTTGTATTACAACGATTATTTTTGAGCTGTTTTTTCCTTTACTGGCTAATAATAATCTTAAAAAACCCATTACACCCATAAATCATCACCCGTGAGAGAGATTGAGTATAAATGCTATCTACCCTATGTGGATAGAGTGGGAAATCCAGGTACTACCTAGGGGTAATGTGGGATAGAGGCAGGGAGTGTGGACAGGAGGCCCTGACTTGGACCCTTATCGTTGTTTGGGGGTTGGATGGCAGAGGCAAGAGAGGGACTCAACTTGAACTTGGAAACACCTCACATCAAAGGCACAGATGGTTAGGAGGTGGGTGAGTGGTTCAGGACCAAAAATGAGAGGTTATTCCAAGACATGAACTAAAGGAAGTGGAGTTCAGCATCTGTGTGGGCAACGTGGCTTTTATTTACACAGGTGTGAGCAGGCTGAGTTCAAAAAAGAAGTCAGAATGTGGACTAAGATGGGGTGGGAAAGTAAGGGTTCTGGGGATGGGAATTGGTGCACTCATTCCTTCCTGGGTGGGACTTGTGCACGCATTTCTGTGTCACTGTGCTCACTTGTATTTGGGCAGGTGCCTATCATCCTGGTCTATTTAGTGTATTATAAGAGGCAGAGTGATAGACCTCCTTTCACTGGAGGTGTGTCTCTTTGACTACTTCCTGCATTTGAGGGTAGGTGTGGGCTGCCTATAAGGAAAAAAAAAGGGAGGGGCAAGGGAGTGGTGTTTACAGGAACACTCTTGGGTGGTCTTCAGTATGAACTGGTTAATATCTGTGTAGGGTGAGGATATGAATGGTTGTTTTTCAGGTGACTGCCTGGTCAGTTAATCGGGGGATGAGGTAGAGGACTACTGGTTCAAAACTGAGAATGAGAAAGATCATAATTAGTGGCCCTAATATAGGAGGTAACCAAGGAAGCCAGGAATCAAATAAGGACCAGGGATTAGATGATTTGAGATTTGTTTGTCTCTGTTTGATTTGTTCTCAGAGTTTTTTTTTACTTTGCCTGTGATTTTACCTGACTGTTTTACAAAGAAATAATATTCTGGTTCAGTGCTCATAGCACAGTGGTTATGGCACCAACCACATACCCCAAGGCTGGCAGGTTTGAACCCAGCCCAGGCCCACTAAATGATAATGACAACTGCAACAAAAAAATAGCTGGGTATTGTGGTGGGTGCCTGTAGTCTAGCTACTTGGGAGGCTGAGGCAAGAGAATTGCTAGCCCAAGAGTTTGAGGTTGTTGTAAGCTGTGATGCTACAGCACTCTACTGAGAGTAGCATAATGAGACTTTTTCTCAAAAACAAAACAAAAACATAAAAAAGAAACAATATTCTTCTCCCCCCAAAATGCATATCCTCCTTTTTCTGCTGTAAGTAAATCTAAGACTCAGCAATTTTAGAGAACTACTGCAGCTAAAGAATTAATTTGGGGCTCAGCGCCTATAGCTCAACCGGCCAAGGCGCCAGCCACGTACACCTAAGGTGGCGGGTTCGAATCCCCAG